GCTGGCTTTGCCAATGCTATTGCCCACACTAGTAATACCTTCCGCCTACGCTTTTGTGGGAACAATGTCATCAACCACTACTTTTGTGATGTGGCACCCCTTGTGAAGATGGCCTGTGATGACATAGGGATCTATGATCTCATTGTGTCTTCTATGATGGGTTGCAGTCTGCTGGCAACTACAGCTGTCATCCTGAGATCATATATTGCTATTGTGGCAACCATAGTCCGCATCCGTTCAGCCGCAGGGAGACGCAAAGCCTTCTTCACTTGCTCAGCTCACCTTGTCTCGGTCACCCTCTTCTACGGCTCCATTCTCATCATGTACTCCAGGCCCAACTCTCAACACACTCCAAGTTCAGACAAGGCAAATGCCTTGTTCTATACAGTAGTCAACCCTCTGGTCAATCCTTTCATTTACAGTTTACGCAACAAAGATGTGAAGGCAGCGTTCAAAAAGGTCTGGGGCAGATTCATATCATCCACATGAATGCCATTGATACTGCCTTTTTCCACAATGGATTACGAAAATAAAAGTTGTTAGAGAGAACCAGGAGACCAGAGATATTATTTCAGTGATTAACCATTGTCTTCACTCTGCAAAATCTCCTCACTTACTTCTCTCAATTGGGCAGTGGTTTCCCATTTTCCCAATCCTCTCCTTACCTACTAGCATATTCAGGGCAAAAAATAGAAACAAAGGAGGACACATGATCATAATGAAACCATCAGACAATGGCAAACTAGAGAGACAGTTTGGGTCTTGGGGAGGATGGATACTTATGGATTAAAAGTATATTTAATTCTCTTCCAGTCTGAACCCAGAATTAGGAAAGTACCCAAGGGCCAATGTCAAATACTTGTTCCTCCCCTCCTGGAATTATAAAAAAAGTATGCCAATCTAAACAGTACTTCTCCAACTTCTGAGGCTGCCTCTGCAATCTGGTAGGAAAGTTTCATGTAGGATCATTTAAAGGCAGCCATTGGTGGATATCCCCAGCTTCCCTTCCTCCCACACTAATTATCATCCATTGGCAAGAGGAAAAAGCATAAATCACTTTATCTAATCATGGGTGAAGTGGCACTGCATAATCGAAAGATGGCACCTGGGCTCTAGATCTTAGCCACATTTCAAGTTACCAGAGTGACAGGATAGAGCCAATACTACATCATTTAATCTATGGCTTGGCACCTTTCAAATTCGTAGAAGGGCAGGTTAAAGTCACTGAGTGGTCAGTGTTTGTAACCTGTCATTGAATCCACATGGAAGATGTTGTCGCGCTCCTTACTTTTCATGAAGATGGAGAGAACTTCCTCCAATATTTCCTTGTACCATTCTTCCTTCCCAGAGATCTAGCAACCCACCTAAGTCACAATAACATGCCTTCTAAGGGTAGAAAAGAAGACAAAGGAGGCAAGACAACTTTGTGTCAACTTCCCACCATTAAAGCCAGTGGGGAAGTCAGCAGAAATTTGCAAGTCCCAGATATGCAGGTTGCTGCTGAGATAGGAAGGGAGTGAGGAGGTGTGTGAAGAGTGCTTGAAAGGCATGGTGAGAGTCAGGGATGGTGTGTGTGAGAGGCACGGTGTGGGTTGGGGAGGGGTATGAGTGTGTGAGGCAGTGTGGCACAGGTTGGAATGGCTGTGTGTGGATCAGGAAAGGACTGGTTGGCGTGAGGGGTGCACGAGAATTGTGCACATCAGGGAGGATGCGCAAAGATGCGATGGGGTGCATGAAAGGCACAGAGAGGGTCAGGGAGACTGCACAAGTGTGTGAGTGGATTTTCAAGAGGAGTGGCACGGGTCAGAAAGGATCAGGGAGGGTGCACAAGAGAAATGGTGCAGGTTGGGGAGGTTGTGTAGGGGTGCGAGGGGTACCTGAGAAGCACAGTGTTGGTTGTGAAGGGTGTGTGAGGGTGCAAGGGTGTGCGAGAGTGAGCATGAGAAGCATGGTGTGGGTTGGGTAGGAAGTGTGAGAAATGCTATGTGGGTCAGGGAAGGTACACAAGGCTATGAGGGATGTTGTACATATTTTTATAGTCCAGGACTTTCTCCCAGTACTTGGTAAGTATAGGACATTCTAAAAACATGTGTTTTAAAGAAGCATTATTACATTTCCAACAAAATGTTATGTTTGACAGTCCTTTCTATACAAACATAATGGAGTCCAGTAAATTCTAAATATTATTTTTTATTGTATAACTCATAATTTAAAGTTCATTTACACTCTTGCTACAGAAATTGTGGTGTTCTTTATTTCAAAGATTTTAATTACAGCAGGTAATACAAACTAAGCTAAGAAAAAGAAATAGAAAAAGTGCAAAGAAAAAGAAAAAAGAAGAAAGTAAGGCAAAGAAAAGGAAAGAAAATATATTTTAAAATGACTTCTAATCTTCATCACAAATAAAAACAAATTTGTTAACTCTTTCATCACTATGAAGTTATAGACAAATGTTTCTTCTTCCCATAACCCAATCCTTATCTATATGCAAATGCCTAAATCGTCACGTTTTCAGTCCTGATACCAGCAGGATGTCCATAAAAGGCTATCAGAACTTTATTAACATATGTTCATATTATCTTTATTGATTAGCCCTTGGGCCATATCAAAGTGCAAAGTTCCAATAACAAACCATTACCAAAGTCTAATAAAAGCAATTTAAAATAAAATTTGATAAAATACAGTTTAAAATGGAACTAGAATAATATATGACTTAAGATGAAATTGGAGTAAAATACAGTCTAAAATGAAGTTAAAATAGAGTACAATAATTTAAAATATAGATAAAATATGATAAAATTATATCTTGGAGTCACCCTTGCAATCTACCC